AAGAAAATGCACGAGGTTCTGGAGATGGCTCCATGGGTAAGGGCCTACTGTACACTTGTGAGGACCCACATTTGCGTCTCTAGTACCCACTAGTACCCAGTCAAATGCTGGTCATGGTCAAGCATGTCTATAACCCTCATCATGGGATTGGGAACATATAGCTCAAAAGAATCCCAGAGTTCATTAGCCAGCCAGTCTAGTCAATGAGTGAGTGCCAGTCTCCAAAAACAAGAAAAACTGTGACTCAGAAGATATCTAATGATGACCTCTGTCTTTCATATGCTTAGATGCACACACACACACACACACACACACACACACAAATACACAGGGGTGGAGTAGGGGAGAGGTAGACAGAGCGGAGGGAAGAGAGAAATGCACTGCATACAACAAAAGAAATTAAAAAGAAGCCTGATAATCAACATGAAGGAGATGGTATAAATTGATAAATAACTGAATATTTTTAATCAAATTGGAAAATAACCAGGGGGACATATTTTCAATCTATAGTTTTGAAAGTGATAAAATCTTCATGACATCAAGAGGGTAGCCTTGGAAACCGTGTCTAGAATGGGGAGGACTGAAGACAGGGACAGGGGAGTTAAGGGACTGACTGGTCATGATACATGTTGGCCATTTTCAAGAAAGTTTAGTATTGCATGAAAGATGCCAGAAGACACACTGGGAAAGACCCCTTGGGTCAGAGAGCAAAGCGTCCAATTAGTTCAGTGGTAACTTGAACATGGACAGTGTTTGTAAAACATATCGTGGTACCTATGTCAAAATATAATAACTTGAAGGAGGAAAGAATGTGCACAGGAAGAGGAAAAAGGATTAAAAAGTAAGTTACTTATTGCCTCCACAATCTTTGAGATATTAGGAAGTGTGTGCAAATATAACTTCAGTGGTAGTGTTCCTCAAGTGAAAACAAACAACAACAAAAAAACCTTGCATCAGTGAAGAAGGTAAAAGAAATCATGTTCTGGTAGATGCACATATGCCCATGCACACTACATGACAGAGCAGGGGTGAGGCATCTGTAGACTTCTGTGCATGTGTTTAACTTAGACTAGGAGGGAGAGTGAGAGACAGTGGCACCATAGCACTGTGAATATATCAGCAGAGTCGTAGATGGTGAGAAAGGCAAAAGAGAGGAATGCTGGTCCAAGTGGAAGGAAAGGTTGTGAAACATCTCAGAGTTTGTAAACTATGGTCAGTGCCAAGATAAACATGTATGATGTCTCTCCATTTCCCATCGATAAAACAATACAACTACTTTGTGTGACCAACCATGTTCATTCCTTTGCAGTTTTCCTAAGTATTCTACAGGAGCTTTGTAGATCTCTGAAATCCTCTGGAGCTTACTACATGAACTGCACATTTTGAGAATTTATCAAGTACCAGTACTATTCCTTGTAATATTTTACTTGTATTTCTCCAAGCTGAAATATGGCTTTATGAATAGTGAAATCCATGTTTAATACCTCCTTAAATACTTTCAAATACTACAAAATGGCCTTTATAGTTAGATATTGAATAACTATCAATTGAACTAACATTATTGATTAAACTTATATAAGTTCTAATTGCCTTGGTGTTGACTCAAAAATATTTTACTTGTTAAAGACACTGAGCCATGTGTAGTTTTAGACAAAATCTGTTTCTGTAGCATCATGATTTGAAATTACTGTTTTAATTGCACTCTGTATTGTAACTTCTCTTCCCAAGGAGAAGAGGGGTGGAAAGAGCCAGTGGATGACTACTACTAGACAGTGTTTATAGGACACAGCAGAACAACTTCACATATAAAGTAACAGTAACTGGAAAAGCACACACAAGACCTGCACAAGAGAAAGCCAGACCAAAGCCCAGCATGGACAGCGAAGGTGGTCAGACAGTCCCACCCCGGCTGAGGAACTACTGGCAATCAGGGGTTTCGAGGAGAGGGAAAGTCAGTTTTCTCTATGGACACAGCTCTTGTGGAGGCCACTTATGCTCCAGTAGATGACCCTGTCCCCATACACATCCTGGCAGCACTATGTAGGGTCAGGGAAAATCACCATACGTTGAGAAGAAGTATTGATATTCCTGGGGGAAGGACCTAGAGGAAGATTTGTATCAGGAGGAATGGGAGGGATGGGATTGATAAAATCACATTGCATGCAAGTGTAAAATTCTTACTTACACAATAAAAAAGAACATACATTCAATGAATATCCAATAGAAACCCTCTCATGAGACAGTTTGACATGTGACAAGTATTCACTGAATAATTGAGTTGCATGAAGATGAATAGACATCACAGTTACCCTTAGCAATGACCCCACTAGATTACCTATGTAATTTAATTTCATCTGAAGAATGAACAAAGGAGACTTGAAAGCTATCTCAGCAATACCCACCATCAATTTGACCTCTACAAATATATCAGTACTGTCCGTGCCTCCTCATTGACATTATCAGCATCAAATAATTGAAAAGTGATAGGAACTTTACTTGCTTTAAGTCTTGCTTACACTTGAATTTAATTGAAAAAAATTCTCTATTTTTTTATGAGGTTTTATTCACCATCACTTACTTACAAGTACTTTTTTGTTGTCTAAATTCTATGAAATGGAATAAGCATTCTGGATTCTGGACTCTACAGCATGTTTTTTTTTCTCCTTTGCCCTTACTTTATCATTTCCAGGCAGCAAGTTTGGTCTTGTGTTCAGTTTGGTGCCAGCACTCAGTGAATTTTCATACCTATCATAAAACATATTTGAAACATTTATTTTAATTCTTAGCCAAAATATGTATTTCAGTGTTAATATGAGAAAATAATGAATGATATAACAGTTTATAACTATAAATCAGTAGGTATACCTACCCTATATAGTTAGATAGTACTAAAAAGTAGCCTCTGACATTTTATAATGCATAACTGGTTATATTTTAAAGTTCAGATTGATAGTGTCTATTATTGGTATTTTCTATTATCTTATAGAAATAATGTGTTTTGATGCTATGCTAAGTAAAATTTCTAGAAAGTGATGTATTTCTTCTTATTCTTCTAACCTGTATGCCCCTTGTCATTAAATAAACAAAATGAGTTATAAAGTGTAATAATGTTACCAGTAGCAAAAAATACCAGGCTAGATTATAATTCTCATTTCAAATCTGACTTTGCTCTCTGCTGTGATCCCAGACCTAGAAGTGTATTGTGTGGTCAAGAGACATTGATGAATAAGGCTACTTTAAAAATCGATGTAGAATTTAAAGGTAAGGGTTAACATTTCAAAGCACCACCTGCCATTATGTATGTCTAAATTTGAAATACATCCAATCACTTAGGACTCAAATGTACAGCCTCAAACTTCTTTTTCTAAAGTACTGGATTTGCTTTACCTCGGTCCCTGTGCAGCTTCCTTCACAGCGGGACTTGGTTGATTCTGTCGGTGACAGCGAGGAAACAGTCTCGAGCAGGCCGGAACACTGGAAGGAAGGAATCCAATACAGGGTGTGTCTGTGCAAGTGGGACTTAGTACTCACTTCTCTTTCCTTCCCCTGCGCTTTCCTTCCCAGCTTTGAGTTCTCTTCTTCTTAGATCCCTTCATTCCACTTAGTCTTACTTGCATGTGTAAGAGTACAGGAAAATCTACTGGAACATGTGTAGCCTTTCAAGCGCTGCATCTGTGAAGAACTCAGCTCCCCCACCCCAGCCTCCAGCAGCAGTCAATTGCCCATAGCTTATCAGCTAGGAAAGGGAAGCCCCCCTCTGTCCCTGAGGGGATTCTGGCTGGCTTGATCCTGAGCAGGTCTTGTGCGTGCAGTCTCGCATGTGAGCTCATGTGTGCGCCCATCAAATGACTCCACGGCCCTTTTAGCTGTCCCCCTTTTTCCTTTCTTTTTTCTATACTTCTTGTTAACCCTTCCTTTACCTTTGGATCATGTCACTTTGTCGCTCAGAGTCTATTCCATCGTCCAGGATAAGAGTCAAGGTTGAAAAGTATAATAGATTCATATGAACCCACTTCTATTATTATGCTTATGAAAAGGAGAATAAATTGCCTTTGGTGTAAATAAAGTATTTTTAGCATCTTCCCTTTATTTCTGCTTCCATTTACTCTCCAAAGGACCACTGCAGTGGCACTTTCTCAGTTTCTCTGGCCAGACTCTCTGGACAAAACTAGAAGCCATAGAAAGATGCTTGCATTTCAGTCACCTCCTTATCATGATGCCCTGTGATCTAATTCCTTGTCTACTAAAGGATGTGTTCCTGCAGGTCACACACTGTCTGTTACTGTCCCTGTGTTCTGCTCACCTACCAATAGCCCAACTCTGAGAGATCACAAGGTAATTACTAGATTATTTCAGCCCTTCTCTGATTACTCTTCAGGCTCTTTAGTCTCTTACTTTGTGACTTCTGTCTATCCTTTGATAAGCAAAAATAATTAGAGATGCTGATCTTGATTATGCATATGGACACTTAAAATCTCATTTATGAACACTTAAAAAATGAATGGCTTTAAGTTAGAATCATTCAATCAAAACTTTTGCTAAAAGGTATTGGCTTGCAGGCCAGAAGGTTTTCCTTAATATTCAAAGTCCACATGTAAAACAGTCATCATGAAAAACAACGAAGAAATTTCCCCCAAAGTCTTTGTCTCCATTTCTGTCTCCATTTCCATCCTGTTTCTGATGGCACCCTGATAGATTTCATTATGAACAAATTCAAAGGGAAGCAACAACCGAAATCTTACTCTTTGAAGAGGCACCATGCAACTGCATACAGACACATGCCAAGGAGAGCCCCTGTTATAGTGAGGGCTGCAGGAAACCAGCTGTCAGGCCTCCAGTAGTATGAGATCTTCCTTAAGACAGAGGTAGTCATCTGAGAAAGTGCAATAAATACGTACTAAGCATTAGCAGTGCAATTGACAAAAAACATGAAATAAGAATATACTGGGAGGATGTTTTTATATTCATTTTCTTTATGATTATTCCCGCTAGGGAATAAACTCTTATTGAACTAAAATATATCTTATGTATCATTGTAGATTCTGTGATGATCTTGGCAGGGGCAAATAATGAATGTTGGCTAAATGAAATAAAGAGTGACTCAGCAAGTATTATTTCAAAATGAACTACAGTATTATTTCCTTTTCTGTCTCCTGCCAAAAATCTCAGAACGTTTTTCCCCCAGCACATAAATCCCCATTACTATCTCAACTGTGACCATTAAGAAACTAGTAAGGAATACAAGGTTTTCAGTGGCTTTTGACTGTTGTCCTTACCTAAGGAACAGTGGCATCCAGCAGATGGCAGCATACGATAGGATAAGTCCGTAAGTACATGTTTAGGTGTGACATTTAAGGTAACATAATCTATAAAGCTAGTTTCACAGAGATGACATGGAAATAGGGAACATCGAAAATGGAGGTGAAGAGAGACCTTTGCAAAAAAAGAGCCTGTCAACAGGGGTGGTGGAAGAAATCTCATTGCTTATGCAATCCAGCAAAAGGAATCCCAGCCGGGTTAAGTGCTGGTAGTTGTTAAGATTAAGCATTATATGACTAACCACTCTGCTTTATAATACACAAGTGTGGGCATGTCTGAACAAAGGAAGATGGGGAAATCAGATTAAGCTTAAGAGAGGCCTGTTAAAGTGCTGTGATCTAATTTTCATGAATAAATAATGTTGTGCTGTATTTCTAAATAATAGATCAAAAGGTTAACAATTTGTTTGTCACTTAGACATACAGCTTTATTTTCAGATTAGTAAGAAATAGCTGGATGTGGTGGCACACCATTGGAGTTCCAGCTTCTCTGGACGCTGAGGCTGGAGAATTACTAGAGCCAAGGAGTTTGAGTTTGGAATAATAACACTCTCTCAAGTACATTTGCCACAATCTAAGGAAATGGATTCTAAACTGTGCTTGTTTATCTGTCTTCCTCCTACTGCCATCTCTCCCTATCTTTCCTTCTACAAGTATTTATTGAGTATTTGTTTTGTTCTGGGACTCAACATACATAATCTTGAATCCTAGGCACAGCATTTATTTACCATTCACTGTGGGCCATTATTCATCAAAGCACTTCAGTTAGTTTTTTCTCCTAATTCCCATCTCAAAGGAGAGAGTCACCAATGCCAATCTTTAAGGGAGGATCTGAGATAAATGGTAGAGGGCATCCTGTACAGTGCCAAGTCCAAGATGCCAGAAATGGAGTTCACACATATATCTGTGTGTCACCAAAGACCATGTTCCTTTCAGTGCCCTGTGCTACATACTCTCCAATTTAGAGTATTGTAACAATTTTAAGTTTAAAACATCCGATTTATAGCAAGACACCAAAACACAAAATCTCCAACAGCCATTGTAGCTCCCACAGACACACAACCACCTGCAGGAAGCTGACAGTGCTGGACACTCACCTGGTGTGTGTGCCCTTCACTTATTAGACAAGCAAAGATTTTTTAAGTGTTTTCTCTTTGGTTTTCTCATGTACTCACATAAAATTTACCTAATGCTTTTTGTTTGTAAAAAGTCATACTTAATTGGGAAATATGTCAGTCTTCTAAGTTAAGTCAGGATAATACTGAGATGTGGTATAAAAAGAGCAAAATCTTTCTACAGGTATTAATACAATGTTAATGGATTGCATTTACATAGCATGTTTATTACAAGACCTTTCATGTCCCTTGCTTCATTTGATACGTATAAAGCCTTTTGTACAGCACATAGAATTATTCTAATCCATCTAGTAATCCTTGTACACTGAGTAAATATTTAAATGTGTATTTTGTGTTGGCTGGACTCCCTTGCTACACACTTCCCACTGTGTGATTCAGACCAAACTTGAAAGGACTGAATGTGGGATTTTATATTCTCATTTGTCTCTCACAAGGCACAGTAAGCTATCAGTTTATGTTTAAATGTATTCAAGTCTGTTGGTGACCCAGGGCACAGAAGTCACAACAGAGACCAGCGCTTGCCTGAACTTCGTGGTAGCACCCGCCTGTCTAACTTTCTTGCCTCTCATCTTTTTCCCCCTCTTTCTTTTTGCATTTTGCATTTTGCAGCTCTCCAAGCTTTGTCAATCTATGTAAAATCTACTTAATTTCTTCTCTCTCCCTGTATCAGGCCAGCCTCACTTTCTGTCTCAGGACACATTTGATCGTTCTCCTTTTATGAATAAACCATGTTCTCTCGCATCTACCTTTCTTCAACTGTGGCTGTTGCTTAATGTCTGCTCTGCACATTCTGTCCATCAAAACCCACCTAAAATTCCTCCAGCTCTTCTGGGACTTTCTCAGCTCCTTCAGGCCAGAATTTGATAGGATGTCTGCCCTACATTTGTTTATAGCACTTGTCAAAATGACTTGTCACTTAATTTACTGGAAATCAACCTCTGTACTCACTGGAACTTCTCAGACATTGTATGCTAAGGCCCCTTTCTTGTATTTTATACCTCAGCTACTATACTAGTCACATGATTCCTTAAACTTCAAGCCTTGCTGTCTCTTCAAGGTTTGCTTCTGATCTCCCTGGCCCTATCATGTAGTAAGTCTGTGACCTTTAGAAAACAATTTGACCTCGAGAAAAAAAATTAGGACTTCCAATATTTCAATTTTTAACTTTGTAAAAAGACAAAACCAAATCTTCGAATTTGATTAAATCATATCATTTATTAAATGTGAAAACTCAAACATGGATGTACATAGAAACATAAATCTCACTACTAGATAAGAAGTTTTGTTCAAATATTAGTTGCACAGTGTTATCTTATGGAAATTATTAAATTATAAAATCCAAAACTTCATAGAATTCATTTTAAATTGTACATTTGTTGTGCAAAGTGCATACTTTTTATATTTGCTTAGAAAGGTCGGGTGAGACATTTCGAATGCTCTCATGCTTGCCTAAGCAGACAACTCAAAGACACCCATGGACTCAGACCCTGGAGTGGCGTCTCCTCCTGGTGAAGAACACAGGAGTGAGGAAAGGAACTGCTCAGCACTGGCCGACTATGTGTCACCAAACATTTATCTCACCGTTGGGGAAATCACTGGTGAGAGCAGAAGAATCCCAGCTGTCACTCGGCCACGCTCTAAGCTTCTCACTGCTGCATGCAGCTGATTCATTTTGATTCATAACCTTAATTACTTAACTGGCTGTACTTTACAGAAAGGACAATAATAATAATCTTCCCTGTCATGGATCTTCTGCCAATGTTCAGAATCAGAGTCATAGCAGATGTCCAAGGCTGCCTGTTGTACTGCCTTTCATATTATTCCATTTAACTCTCTCTGAATAAGACATTTTAGAAAAGATGTCAATAAGAAATTTGTCATTAAACTTTTATTCTCAAGTATTTTATTAAATACAGTCTAGATGGCTACTGAAAATGTCAAATAACTTTTAAAAGTAAAACTACTGATTTTAGCAGAAACAATGTTTTTTTCCACTTCCTTAGAAACTTACCACAAATAGTAAAAGTTATGAAATTAATAGTAGAAAATTTTAGTATTATAAAGAAAACATGGAAACTTCTTTCCCTGAGTGGGAGCTGTAGATGAGAACTAAGTGGTTTGTGACCAATACTTCAAAATAAGAAACAATCTATTTCTATATGTTTTCAGTTAATAAAAAAAAAGTAAAGCACGCCATGTATTAATTACATCTTATGTTCTGGCCAGTGCACTACGAAGGGTTGATGAAATATCTGTTAGTAATCCCTATTGACAGACTGGAAACTGAGGCTCCACATGGTAAATAACTCAGCACAGGTTTACATAGTGACGGAGAGGAAAAGCTAAGACTCAAGCCAGAACCTGCCTCATTACTAAGGCTACCCTCTGCCGCTCCATTTGGACCTAAGATTGTTTACCGGGCAGTGTGAAACTGTTTTAGCAGAATCTACATGACCTGAGATCATTATAAATTCTTTCATTTCAAACTTTATTTTATTTTAGTATGGGGGCCTGGTCATATTATGAATGAATGACTATGCAGAACATTTTTAAGTGTAAAGTTAAAGGTGTTTGCCAGGAATTCTTATAATTAAAAGAGATCTGCCTAATGGATTCTGTGTTTTTTAATAATAATAGTCTTTAAGTTTCTTTTCTGTCCTTATATCTTGGGTCCTAATTTAATTAATGTATTACATTAAACAAAAATAATTTCTGGAAAGGAAGGAAATAAAGTATTTTAAAACAAAGACAGACACTTCTTCCAGATGTGGTGGTGCACACCTCTAATCCTTGCACTTGGGAGACTAAAATGGATTCAAGGCAATCCACCTTACATAGAGAGTTTGTAGCCATTTAGAACACTTGTTCTCTTGCAAGACCTGGGTTCATTTCTCAGCATTCACATGATATCTCACAATCACCCTAAATCCAGTTCCAGGAGATCCAATGTCCTTCTCTGACCTCTGTGGGTACCAGGCATATATGTGTTCCATATATATACATGCAGCCAAAACACCCTGTCACACACAAGAACTAAATCTTAAAAAAAGGAATTTGAAGCAAGCCTGGACTACATAGAAAGACTATCTAAAATAAAACACAGAACAAAGGTTTAAAGCAATTCATCACCTGTATTCTTTTTCTACAATGAGGAAAAAAAGACAAGAAGATAATAAGAAGGACAATCAAAATGATGTAAAATGAATTAATTTCTTATATTTCCCTGGTCACTGATTTGTCTTACTTTGGTTGTTGTCTTAGTCTATTGCTGTGAAGAGACATGGCCAAGGCAATGCTTATAAAAGAAAATATTTATTTATTTATTTATTTTGGTTTGGTTTTTCAAGACAGGGTTTCTCTGTGCAGCTTTGTGCCTTTCCTGGCTCTCGCTCTGTAGACCAGGCTGGCCTCGAACTCAC